ACGTCTGGAGAATACAGCGGGTGGGGTAGGACTTCCCATTTCAACGTTTCCAAGTATGTCTTGACCACTTTCGCAACATGGGATCATGCTGCAAAATCACTTTATCGTGTCTCTTGTTGTATTGCGGCCGTTTGTCTTTCAATGCTCGGCTCAAACGCATCAATTGCGTTCGATACCGATCGCCTGTGATTGTTTCAGTCCGTTTTAACAGCTCATAATACACTATGCCGAGCTAGTCCCACCAAATACAGAGCATGACCTTGGAGCCGTAAATATTCGGTTTGGCCGTCGACGTGGAAGCATGGTCAGGAACTCCCCATGATTTTCTGCGCTTGGGGTTATCGTAATAAACCCATTTTTCGTCCCCAGTCACAATGCGATGCAGAAATCCCTTCCGTCTTTGTCTTTCAAGCAGCTGTTCACAAGCAAACAAACGCCGTTCAATTAAATAAGTTTAAATAAAATTGGAAAAAAGTGTTTTGTATTTAAAAAAGAATAAAAAAAACCTATGTATTTAAATACATTTTTATGAGTATTTTGTATTTTGTATTTAAATACAATTTTTTAAGTATTTTGTATTTTGTATTTAAATATAATTTTTCTGAGTATTTTGTATTTTGTATTTAAATACAATTTTTTTCAGTATTTTATATTTTGTATTTAAATACATTTTTTTTAGTATTTTGCCCACCCCTGGTTGTTGCTTATTTCTTACAGCTTCAGAAGTGGCCTGCTACTCCTCACGGGGAAAGGACTAGGATTTTAAAAAATAAATGTTTTGAAACCAACTGCCCTAGGAATCGAAGCCGGCAGGAGGCAAAGATGCCGAAGTGTGCTCGGAATGATTCGGTAAAAGGGGGATTCATAAAATTGAAACTCATAATCAGAACGGACGGAATTTGTAAATTGCTCAGGATGACCAATGGATGCCTTGACGAAAGAACACAAATTGGAGATGCTCGTCCAGTAGATGGCGAGGTATGCCATGAGGACGACTCTGGAAGAAAAGTGTCACCCGGATATGGCAGGAAAATGCCATGACATTCCAGGTCATATGCGTTGTCAGGCTGGTCGAGCTTATAAGGAGTTTATTTCAATATTGCGGTCAGGATTGAACATTCGGGACGGATGTAATTTCAGGTTGGCCGAACTGTAAGAAATTTAGAGAAAATAGACACAACAAAGAAGCTATCAGCGTCAGGGCTGTGCGGCTCGGTGGCAGGACGGAGGTTTACCAATGTGGAGGAGATTAGGCCTCGGTTCGAATCCCGGAGCGCTCTGATATTTTTCTCGTGGTGTCACTTATTTCTTACATAACACACACGATGGTGCGCATACGCATTGCGGACATTTGAGACTTTCTAGCTTTCTCTTTCGCACAGATGTTGGCTTCAGGTTCGATACATGTGCGTCATAGACAATTCTCCTTCCATTTATACGTATATGTTCTAAAAAAAATCATATAGTGACATTTCAAAATACTTAACCTGTCATGAGCATAATTATAACTTGATCATTTTCGCGAATCCTTAATCAATTAATATGGTCATTCTCAGGAGCGGGCAAAATACTAGAAAAATGCATTTAAATACAAAATACAAAATATTCAAAAAATTGTATTTAAATACAAAATACAAAATAGTCACAAAAATTGTATTCAAATACAAAATACAAAACACTTTTTTCCAATTTTATTTAAACTTATTTAATGCAGGGGTGGGAAAAATACATTAAAATCGCACTTAAATAAAAAATACCTTTTTAAAACATATATTTAAAGAAAATATACATTTGAAACAAATTTATAAATTTGCAAATTTATAAATGTATATATAAAATACATAATAACATAATACATTTTTCTGATTTTATTTAAACACTTTAAAACGAAACAAAATATCTTTGATTTTGTTTGCATTTGAAAATAAAATTAAACTTAGAGGAACTATATACTATAATACAGTTCTTCTGGAAAAGCAATACGTTGATTGGATATCTCTTCAATATAGGCTCTCTAGCTTTTGATCCCGGATTCCCGGGCACCACTGAGAATCTGATGTATTTACAACAAATTTAAATACAAAATACTCTCCAAAAAAGTATTTAAATACAAAATACAAAAATGTATTTAAATACGTATTTAAATACGTATTTAAATACATTGTATTTCAAATACTGCCTATCCCTGGTCATTCTTTAACACGTGAGACATTATTTCCTCATGAAAAATTCTCGGAAATAATTTTATTACTCTCTTTATTTTTCAACAGAACTCTTAGATATAATTTTATTTCTTCTCTTATCTTTCAAAAATTATTTTATGTTTGATACATTTTTTAATGAATCTAGATTCACGCGAATAGTGTAAGCTTTATTTGCGAATTGTATTAAAAAGAGCGCAAATAATGAAGTTGTTAACTATCCGTATTAAAAATATTAGAACTCACTATTTTAATAGTATCATATCATTAGTCAAAGATCAAAACTAGATAAGACTTAATTAAGTTTTTTTTTCTTTTCAAATGCTGAAGTAAAAAAAAGAATTAGTTAAACTACGATTAAATTGATATGTATATTCCAAAAAATAATATTTCTTAATATATCGTACATAGATTTTGCTATTAAAATGTAGGTATATGTATTTAAAAAAAAAGATTAAATCATTCATCATGTATCATACACGATAAATATTTAAAATAATGAGACGTCTAAGTATATGTGTTATGAAACAATATGTGATTATAGCTTGAAATGATCTCCTCTTTATACAACTGCACAATATAGATAAAGGGAAAAAATCGAAGATGTATTCTCGTTAATATGAGATGTTGGCCGAAACGTTTAATTTAAATTTAAATAATTTTAATATATTAAATATCACAAAAAACAACCTATGCTGTGGTTTGATGCTCCTTGTACTTCAAATTTATTATTAATTATATTCTCGTTAATATCTTGTCAAAAAGTTGAACAGGGAAGATCAATATTAGTGGAGTCCCTTGTAATTGTAGAATTTGACAAAGCTATAGGACTGTGGGAGCGGTTAAGCGACACTGGTTCTAGTTTCCACCAAAGTCCTCAATTCACTTTGGTGCATTGTATTGTTTCTATTGAAAGTAAAATTCCACCTTGTGGATCGAAGCAGGAAAAAATGAGTGTAGTCAAACACATTTCCATCAACTTAAATTTTGGTTGTATCGTATTAAGTGCGAATTAATGTTTTTATAAAAAACTAGATTACTGACAAAGGCTGCGTTCCACTTAACGCTCGCAACGCTCGCAAGCATCGTTTGTCCTTGTTTAATATTTGATAAACAACAAGGATAAAATGATTCCACGAGCGTTGCGGGCGTTAAGTGGAACGCACCCAAACAGGAATTAGATTCGCGAGCGCGAGCACGGACGCATACATGTGGCAGTAGATTCATAACTGCACGTGTGTGAAAAGTTCGTAGGTCACCGCGTCCTTTGCACCCTTTGCGTAGCTTTCCTTCGCAATCCTGCTTTCTCTTTCCGCCACGCTTTGCCTCTTTCGCTATCCTCATTCTTCAATTTCACATATTCTTTTCTTTCTTTCCATTTTTTCTATTCCTTTTTCGCTTTTCAAGCAATGGCGTACATGAAGGCATTTTTACAGCAGTATCGTACGGAATATCTTCCATTAATTTTAAACGCTTTTATGCAACATTTTATATTGAAGATTACCTATGTTAAATTTTTGTTAGATATTGAGAAAACTTTTTCTGATGTATTCTTAATTAAACAGAGCTTTTTCTGAAGGATTAAACTAGATCATTTTTTATGTAAAATTTTAAACCTTTATGTTTAAAAAATCATCACTTGTCATGTGTAATTTATAAAAAAATGACATGTTTTTTTTGCATATTTTATTCGAAATTCTAAATTCTCTCTTTTGTTAGTTTATATATTCGAATAATGTTTGAACACATAGTTTACACATCTAATATCATTTTGTTTTTTACGCTCAATATTAGTCTTCATGAGCTAAATTAGAGATTATTTTATACAAGACAGAATTGCCGTTTATAACAATAATATGCGTTAATTAATTAGAGAGAGTAAGAAGTTTTATCACTTAAACTTTGAAATAAAACCACCATCACAGTCCGTATACGAATGAATCAACACGAACTATTGATAAGAATCATTGCCTTATTTGATATAAACGGCGACTATGTTTTAATACCTGCAACAAGTACGTTACTGATTAAAACTGTTGAGAACAACAATAGTAGCATGATGATAAAATGCGATAAAAACAAATTCTTGCATTATACAACGTATCATTGCATAATACATCAATGTCATATGATATTTCTTAGTTCAAATTGATGACAATAGATATATCCTCAATTAAGGGTTCTAGATTCTAGGACATCATATTATAAAAATATTTCGAATAGTTAATTAATTACTATTGAATTAAGAGAGTCAATTACACACTTGCATACTAGAACTAAAAGAAAAATATTATGGTTAATGTGTGTTACAAACATCAAATTTGAAAAAGATAATCAACCTCGATAGGACGCGTCAAGAAGACTTATGAAGGAGCAGCGAATGTTGATTACGCCTGTGCATTCTCCCGTGACTGTCGTCCGTCGTGCTTCTCCCCCTTTGCCCCTTGCTAAGCGCGTTATCGTGGCAAATTGCACGCGCGAGCCAGGTTGCGCCGACCACGCCGACAACCTCCACGTGCTGCTGAACAACACTCAGCCGCCCCAAATTGTAGGTCGCCGCCGTCGGTTCGCGAAGAACGGAAGGCGGTGGCGAAGCGGGGATAGGTGGTGTGGATGAGACGAGTAGGCGATAGTGCGACGACGGGCGAGGGGAGGATTGGAATGGTTGATGGGAAGAGGAGAGGTGGGGAACGGATTGCGCGCTCGTGCGTATGCGCCTTGGCTGTGATCGGTGCGGCCGAGGAGGTAAACATTGTACAGTACGATTGGCCGGCCCCGAGGCGGCGGGTCTTTTGCTTTTTCGTCTTGACCCGTCTCTTACGGGAAGAAGAGGAAAGGAGCGACTTCTTTTCTTTCTTTCCGAGTTTATGCGATCTCTCGTGTGAGTTCTTCCAGTTCTTCTTTGAGGATCATTGAATCAAAATCGGAATTTTACGAATCACTCCTTCCGGATAATTGGATCCAAATCAGAATTTTACGAATCACTCGCCATTAGCGTTGCCACAGACCCTTCTCCGGATATCGCCGAAACGAAAGATGATAACCAGTGTTCAGATTTTGGATTACACTAGGATGTAACGCGACAGGTTACACCCTAGGTTGCAGGTGGGTGCTTCTCCTCTATCCGGATACTTAGCCTGTTTCTTCTTTTATTTATCTCATCTACTTTCTTTGCTAACTTATTTAAAAGTGACATCGCAAGTTCTGTTAGTGAAAACTAATGTCTTTGGACTTTTTAGATTATTTCCTTACGTTCTCCCGAATCCGCGTATTCTTTTTTCACGTAATTTTATGAGTTCTCGCGACTAGTGTTTTTTATTTTTAAATCCTTATCTATAGATATTTAAACTTACCACTTTCGAGCTTCTAGATTTTTTGAGCGTTATAAGAAAATAGTTAAATTGAACGAGATGTTTTTCATGACATCCCACACAGCATGAAATATTCATGCAAATCGTTTTTTGAAACATTTCAATAAAATATTTTAGAAATACTATAAAAAAAGAATATTTCAAAAACTCTGATTTTCTCCGGACATAGTTATATTTCAAAATTACTTTATGAAAAATTTTTGAAATGTTTCAAAATTGTAATTAAATATATTAGAAATATTTCTAAAATATTTCATGCTGTATGAGATCGTATTTAAAATAAAAATTGTCATTTTGATTTTGAATACTAAGCGTACGGAACATAGATAGAGAACAAGAAGCGCGAGGAGGAACTGTCATCAATTTTCCAAACCAGAGAATCACACGTCATCGTATTCATTGTTGATAGATTTTGTTTCGTTTTCTTTTTTGTGTACACGCTATCGATAAAAAATGGGCATATTTTTTTACTAAACACATAGTTATCAATATGAATTTATGTCATTTCTTTAAAATCTAATTTATGTCAAACATTTATCAGATTATTAAAAGTTTTTTTGTTCTTAGAATATTCTTAGAATATTGAACTAAACTTATTCTTAATAGAATCATTTTTTTATGTGCATATATGATATATATGTAAATAGATTATTCGTATAATAATCTTTTATTTTTATTATATTTCTATTATACTTTTATAATTGTGTGTATAACATCCAATTGCTAATCATTAGTTCGCTGGCATTATATTAATTTGATTTAAAATTTTTTAATATTTTTTACGGTTTATATTATAATAATTTAAAATGTGTTATTGCGAAAATTTGTAAAATTAGTGGAAATTGAAATATATTAAATAAAATTAATAGTAAATAATGATAATAAATTAAAACTCACAGTGAATGTACTCGTTTTTCTCCAAATAAACATAATGTTACTTAATCGAAAAATTACACTTAATTGGCCTCACGTAGTTAAAACAATCTGTATGAAATACGATTAGAAATTATCACGAGAGTACTCAAATCACGAAGAGGAAGAGTGGTAGCACAGTTTTATAAAATTCGGCACGAAAGTGCTTCCGGACGGTAGCGATGTGACGGTTTGACTGTAGGATAAAATTTCCCCTCAGTATGGGGGATGTTTCCGTGGATCAATACAATTTTTGTGTATCCCTTTCATGCGTTGTGATATTTGTCATATGATTAGCCGATCACTACGAGCTCCATCAAAAAAATGAACGGCTATAGAAATGGATATAGGAAGGGAATACGAAAAGGAGGAGAATGATCACAGGGATGAGAGGGAGAATAGGAGAAAAAGAAGGAAAAACGAAAGAAAACGCTCATCATACGCGATTATCGTCGGACGTGTGCCGCTACGTGCTCCTCTTGTGATGTAACTCTTAACGTCCTTACTTACTACGCGCCGAGTTGGACGAGGTCGGTGATCGCTATAAAAAAATGCGACTCGTACACGTGGAGGCGGTCGCGCGGGTTTCGGCACGGTATGCGAAGACGAGCGGAGACGGTAGCAATGGCAATACCGACGGGGGGTAAGCGGACTGCGCGCGATATGCTTGCAACGTGGCCGCCGACCACGCCCGCGGCCTCTTTGGCCATTGTCGGTTGATAGCGTCATGCGCATGCAGGTGCTTATGTTAGCGCTGTGCATGCAATTCGAGGATTTGTTTATAATTCAGAAAATAAGAATATTTTCTTTTTCCGCTCTTTTGTTCACGAATACTATATACTTTTATTTAAAATATTCAAATTAACTTGCAAAAAACTATTATACCTGCCGTTGCAGTATTTTGGATCCATTTCCTAGTGTAAACAAAAATTTCACGAATAAACGGCATTAAAACCAAAACTTATCACCTTTTGAAGAGATATTAAAACAGCGATCATATAAACATAGTTCCAATATAATATACAGGATGTCCGGTAAGTTTCGACAAAACGCTCGTGTGTAGACAGAACTTTAATACCGTATTTTCTCATGTTGGTAAAAATAGTTGCTAATAAAAAAATGCGGTACTAAAAAGTTGATGAAAAATTCTGAAAAAATTCTCAAAACTTTATGAGAAGATAATAAACAATTTTTATCTCTCGCTATTTTTCTGTAAAGTATTTGAGTATACAATTATTGAAAATCAATATTCAGCGATTTGTAGTAATTAATATCTTATTAACTGTTGCGAAAATTGCAAAATGATAAAGGACTTTTCGACTCAGTTTAGTCTGTTCTATCTATACATGAGCATTTTGTCAAAACTTACTGGACACTCTATATAATCGGATACGCAATTTTATTGCGTTTTATTTAGAGATGAAAAAAACAGATAGTGTAAAAGTAGAGAATATGGAATAGCGTTTTTTAAATTAACGTTGCTTCGATATAAATGTATACGAAGAAATGTATACTTTAAATTTACACAGAACTCTTGAAGAATATGTAGCTACAAAATCCAATAAATAAAGTCGCCTTTCAAAATTTAAGTCCAACATCAATATTAATAAAAAAGTAAAAAATGTGAAAATAAAGGGGGGCGAGGAGTCTAAAAAATGGGATATAATATGGAATACCGATGAAATTTAGGTAATAGTAGAGGAAAAGCACCTATTATGAGATACCGTGTTTGAGTAAATGCTCGAAATGTATGGACAGAGTTAAAAAAAATAGTAGGTCATTTTGAAAGCAATTTAATAAGTTTTAAGATAATGTTATGTAAAATTTAATTCAAATTCTATTTGTTTAATTAAAGAAATGTAAAAAGTGAGCAAATCGCAAAGTCAAAAAATTGTGCTCCTAATATAAGACGACAGACGTCTTGAGAAATTGATAATAAAACGCAAAGTACATCAATATTGCAATTAAAAAATTTTATTTAATGTTTCTAAAATACAAACAGACACAGCCAGTGCGTGCGCAAAATGAGCATGTGATGCATTGTACCTAGGACTCGTCTCCAGTAGTTGGAACCAAACATCGCAAAAACGAGCATTCAATGTTCGTTCCGAGTGTCCTTTTTATTATTGTATAATAAGTTACTATACAATTATATTGTATAATAACTTATTATACAATAATATTATTGTATAATAAGTTATTATTATTAATAACGTTTATACTTAAGTAATAGTTTTCATTGACATAGGAGCATAGGTTAAATTGTTTCATACTAGAAATACCCTTGGTATCTCATATTACGATTTCCACGCATTACGGTTTTACGATCATCAAATCTAACTTCTATAATTAAGCGATTAACATATCCCGCATTTTTCTACTATTAAGATATATATATATAATATATCTCAATGAAATTTGAAAATATCCAAATTCTAAAATCTTTTTTTAAAACAACTGCAGACATGATCTAATAGATAAATTTTCCACTAAATAATTTTCAATCCAAGAGCAATAAATTCATGATGAAACCAATAGATAATGTTTATTAGTTTAGCGGAAATACCGCTATCTCATATTAGGTGCCTATCTCATAATAGGGGATTTTCCTCTAATAAATAACGTAGGCCGAGTTACACATTTCGACTGATTTTACCTATCGTCATCCCTATCCTTTTTATCTCACAGCATTCAGACCGTGCGCGGAAACATGAAACGTTCGAACTCAGGGATGATATTAACCATAACTTATACAAGGCACTATAGGGCTACAGGACTTTAAAACATATTATCTTAAATTCACTGTTTACAAATTTTTATAATTATAATTATAATTATTATGTTAGAAATTTTTCAATTTTCAATTTATTTATTAAAAATGATTTTTTCGATATTTTTTAGTATTCAAATTTAATTAGCGCATGTGTTCTGTTTTAAAGTATTACTTTTGAGTTTCTAACATAATAATAATAATAATAATAATTTGTAAACAGTGAATGTGAGGCAATATGTTTCAAAGTTCTATAGCCCCATAGTGCCCCGTAGGGGTGATCCCGATTAATCACGGCTCGATTGGACACCACCAATCACAGCGACCAGTGCTTAGGAGCTTTGTAGTCTCAAGCGCTGTGAGTGGCTCGTGTCCAATTGATCCTTGTCCAACTGGGTGCCACCCCATATTACAGTGTAATATCATAGAAATATTACTGATATATTACAGCAGGATTGGGAAAGTTACTTTTTAAAAGTAACGCGTTACCTGTTACCGTTATTTGCGGTAAAAAGTAACTCGTTACCATTACTCGTTACCAATTCTAAAAAGTAATGCGTTACCGTTTCTTAAAAATAACGATAAAAAATCGTTACTTTTCGTTACTTTTTTTTGTAATTATGCAGGAAGAGTCTACTACTCATCGATTTTGATAAAATTAGAGTCATTCGACGCATTTTTGCACGAAATGAACGAATCTGGCAGAAAAATAAATGTCTCTCTGCCCGATAAACTGAGATTAATGGTTAAAGTTAATGACTATTGAGATAAGGAAATCTGTCCTAATTTCATCAAAATCAATGAATAAACCTGTCTTCTGTATAATTACACTTTTTAAAATGATAAAATAAGTTTCTAAGGATATATTTAGAAACATATTTATCTTTGAACATTTTTATCTTTTATTAATATTTTATATACTTATATTTAATTCTGTGGTATTTTATTATATAATAGATATTTTAGTTTTTAGTGTTCTTATGCTAAAGCGACGACAGTGATTAAAACAAAAATAGGCAAAAAGTTTTTTGTTTATTTATTATAGTATCTAT